AGCTATCACGTCATATTCTTCAGTAGATACTGCTGATGAAAAAATATCCATTTTACAATCAGTATTAAGATCACGGATGTTTTGATAATAGCAATGCAAATTATTTTGGTAACTGCTGAGAGTAATTAGTATTTTTAGTAGGTAACCATTTGTGGAATTCCATGGATACCTACATGTAATTGCTAGATGCTATTCACCATTGCATTATCAGTACGATATTTTAATTGTTCCTCCAGATTTCTATATTTATCACGTTGCCGTTGTAGCGGGGTAAGATTTATAAAAATTTTACGATCTCGCTTTATCTTAGATCAGTTTTTTAGAAAATATTGTATGAATACATGACAATTTCATTATTAGGTAAAGTCACTTTTAAAGCGCGAATACCATTTTTGTTCTTTGTTCATGTTGATTTGCTTTGACGATTCCAACGGCATTGTCCACAAAAAGTTCGTTCCACCGGGCCAAACCGTTAATGCACAATTCTATCTTGGCTTTTTAAGGCGTTTGATGCATCGTATTTCTCGTATTTGAATTTCGCGTGAAAGGAAGTTGACGTTTGTTGTACAATAACGCGCCATCTCATCGGTCGACACTTCTGATCGATTTTTTTTTACTAAAAATCGCATTTCAACTGTCAACCACTCCCCGTATTTGCCTGATTTTGCACCGTGAGACTTTTACCTCTCCGGAAAAATGCATTTGTCGATGAAAGGAGAGTGTTTTGTGTACGTAGAAGCCATCAAAAAGGCTTGTACTGGCATCCTGAAGAACATCCTTGCCGACGATCTAAAACACTCATTGGACATGCTTTTACGAGTAGACCATGCGAATCATTGTACTATTTTGAATAAAATAAATCGGTTTTGCCAAATAAACTATTGTTCTTTAAAGAGAATGGGATAACATTGAAGATTAGATAAATACTTTCTGAGATTAATAAATCCCGTTACATTTTAATCAAACCTCGGAAGGTAGTTAAGTAATATACTTTTTTCTGTAATAAATATCCTGAAATAACAAAAGGGTGAAAGCATGATTCTTTTAACTTCACAATTTGAAGTTGACATGCTGTTGAATATTTAAAAGGAAAGGTGCTAAAAAGCTTTAATATATATTTTGCTCCAGCTTTTATTTTTACGTACGTTTATCTGCTGATTGTGAGCCGAGGTTTAAAAAATGTCAATAAAAGTCGTGTATTTTTAACACAACTTGGCAGATTTACAGATCTATTCAATGTCGGTTAGTAGGTAAAAATTTACAGTGCCAAATTACTAAATTAATGGACGTAAATTTTTAATTTTCAACTCCCCCATTATTTCGACTCTTAATTAGCATGATAGGCATCACTCTAAAACTCTACCGTCTGTCTTCGGAATGCGCCTAGCTAGAAAGTGGAAAAAAAGAACAAATTTAAAGGAACGTGAAATATAATATGAAAAAAGGAGCATTCCCGTAAGAAGTTAATCAATAACCGAAGCACCTATTTCTGGAAGTGAGTAGTTTATAAAATAGTCAACGCCTGTTGACAATACTCAACTAATCCCTGCACTTCAGTTATTTAAAGACGCTTCGAAGTACCGAAGCAACTTTTAGTCTGCGCTTCCCATGCAGTGTCACACCACCATTATGTAGAATATGAGACACCTTTGACTAATGCTGGACGGCATTCCCCAGTATTTCTATTGGCAACTTCCTGTCTGTTATCGTATCCGGTTCTTATTTCGGATCGCTGCTATAAATGGCTTAATGGGATTTGTAATCCGATTAAATATATTCATTAAAATTCATCTTTGAACGTTTTAAGTAAATGACATTCGGCGTATACTCGCATCCTCTCATGTGAAAAGTAAAAAAGGTCTATACAGGGTGTTTCAGTTCAAGTGAGTCGAACTTTAACCACAAATAGAACTCAATAAATAATTCAGGATTGCCTTATAAAGCAACGGTCTAAGTCTCACCGTTTTCACTGTACAGGGCCGTATTGGTCGGTTGTTAAAATCATGTTATTTACGAAATCTTTGATATGCTTATAACAAATTGATTCAAATTTGGTGTGTTGTGTGTACATTTACACATATGGATAATTTACTGCAAAATTTACAAAATTTTGTAGGTCAGTGGCGTAGGAATGGGTAGTAAAGCGGGATTTTTTTACCCCAACTTCTACGCCAATATCCTTATAATCATTTGGAATTCATTTTTAGATTCCGTGGATAATTCTACATAAAAAAGGTATACTTGTTGAAAATCGGTATAGTGTATCGTTTTGCCGAAAATCTCAGTTGAATGGGAGACCGTTCTTCTGATAAGACTTGAAATATTCATCCATTTTTTTACAGACACTAACTAATATTTCACATCTTAAGAATAAAATAAATGACAGTTCCTGATGACAGATAAGTCAATTATTACTTAGTTGTTTTAAAATTAATATCTAGGTGTAATTTTTTAAAGAAATTATATGTTTGAAACAAAAATTTTAAATTTTTTTTATAATTGCTTGGTTTCAGTTGATGTCAATATCCGAATTTTTGTAAAAGACATGCACTTTCGAGCGAAACTTTGCAATTTTAAGTTTAATGTATCTACAAATGACGAAAACGATGAATGGAAAATTTAATTTCAACAAGTGATGCTTAATTAAGCAGCAATATTAAGTTTTTAGTAGACCACCATACATCCTTTCACGGATGCTAAACTTTGTTAACTTGAAATAGTAGATCATGAGGCATTTTGTCAGCAAAAATGTATGTTTTATTTAAAATACATATAGTACTATAATTAACAAAATATATTTGTATTAAATTTCATGGCAAAACTTCAATTTAAGACTTTGTTTTAGAAATCTGGATATTTTCATTCGGTTTAAGGATTTTCATCTTGAACTATCTATCTGCCTATCAATTTCTCCATCAATATAAAAACGATTTGTTGTACCTCCAGATATCGAGTGACATTTGGCAGAGCGTTCACTAGACTTGTTATTTGTTGATGTTGATTAGATTTCTTAATTTTTTCAGGAAATTGCTAGGAGCAAATTTGTATTTGTATTCTTTTCTGGTACTTATCATCGGTGATTTTTGTTCTATTTTATCATCTTTGCAGTCTTTTTGTTCACATGTGATGGTAGTTTTTTATTTCAAATTCGTTTTGCAACATCGTTTTCTCAAAATGACTTTGTCCTTATTTATTTACTGTATATCACTGTGTTGAATAACTTGATATACTAAATAATATATCAGGACAGGAAAAATAAAAAAATCATCACATTAACTGCAGCATACACAAAGTAATAAATTTAAATTTCGTTAGTCTATAATCGTATTTAATTTTTGTAACGTTTACCTAAAATAATTTTATTATATAACGGCAACGAAAATATGTTTCCCAGCTATTTTAAATTTCGAGTGGTCATTTTTGAAACTAGTGGATTTTCCACCAATTCACCTTTTGTAGACAACTTTTTTATTTAAATAAATCCTACATACCACAAAAAATTATAATAGTAGTTGTTTTTATAAAGAATTATAAGTAATTAAATCTACTAAATCACATTAGGAATTTATCTATCTGTTAAAAGTTATCTTAAGATACTATGCAACTTATTAAGAGCTTATTCTTTATGTAGAATGTATTTTCTGCCTAATTTCATAAGGTTTAACATTGTATTGAATACCACTAGTATGTGATATGTGACAAATTTTATGAGAAAGCGTCACTACTTCCTACACTGACACTTTGACTTTGATGGGAGCAAACATAAATTGTCAACAGATAAACTTTTGGCAACATTTTCTTTGAAATAGGCCAAACTGTGACCAATAAAAACAATTTTTGCCATTTAAAATATTTGAGTTGTTTAAATTTTCAAATGCGTACATCCCAGAAATAGATAAAATACAATGTAATATTAATTATCTTTAACTCTGTAAATGTTTAATTACTTTAACTACTGCTAGTACTTTAATTCCTTCAAATAGGTATAGTTTAGTAATTTCAAATTTGGTATAAAACTATTTTTTTTTGTAGATTTTCAAATAGGTATGGAATAAAACTGTTTTTATTGCATTAAGGTAATTAAAGTACATCAAAGACGGTTTATTTCTGTTGGGATTTGGAATTAAAAAACACAATTAAATGCAATCATATTTCCTACAAGAAATTCCAAATTAAAAACAATTCGATTTATTCATGAACAAAATGTTTTGAAGACCATGTAACCACATACCTACTAAAACAATGTATTTTTCTCAGTTCACATTTTAGGGAGTTTTACAGCCAATTTATAATCTTTTTACCACTATTTGACATCATGAAGGGTGAAACTAACTATTATTTTTAGATTTAAAAGTTTATTTGATGTCAGTAAAACAAATCTGGCATGCATTTGCAGTAAGCTATTTCACACATGGGTACAGGACCGACTTGAGGAATTTTTTTAAATCACTGCAAAAATGTCACTATACAAACAGGCTAAATTATGTTTTCTAGCAAAAATATGTTCAAAAAATTACTGAAAATTTGGACAAAATCATAGAAATGTACTAATTAATATACATTACCGATACCGAATAAACAACAGAACTTCGCTATCAGATTCTAATTCTAATTCTAAACGAATACTTCGTTATCCTTATGCTCCTATATAAATTCTTTAGGCATTTTTCATTCACAATCAGTATTATTATTAATTAATGTTGATGTTATATTTTTCCGGTACATTTACCACTTATAATTATTTATTTGTTCCAATTAAAGTTAGACATTAGACTATGTTGGTCGCACATGCCGGCCCTGATTTAATTTAAATTAATCCAGTAGTTGGGTTCTGGCAGCTCACCAAAATATAATAAAAAGTAATTCCCGACTGTAACTTAAGTTGTAGCCTTGCCCGATGAACTAATTGGTATTTAATTCTTTCTAAAATAAGTTTTGCTAAAGGTCGGCATACAATTACCGCATTACTAGAATTACTCACCGTAAAAATTACTTTCCAGGCACCATGGAATAAGACCAGCACAAGTAGTTACTCCAGCGGCATCAAAAAGGAATCCCCAGGAATACCAAAGGTAAGATACATCGTCAATTTCAGCTGGACGTGCTTCAGTATTAAAATTATATGTTCCTCTAAAATTACTTTCCTGCTTTCCATAAATAATAATTGGTTTCATTGCAAATAAATAAAATAATATGTTGTTGACAATTTCTAATTTCCAATGTACACTATTAATAAAAATTTATTATATTTATTTTATATTTGGGCCAATGCTTGAAGACTTTATATGTTTTTTCAATTGCATCAATGTACATACACAAAAATCAAATAAAATCAGATTTTATGGGACCACAGTAAACTATTTTTGTATGTTTAGCTTCTTATACGATTCCTATACAGGTTCGGAAAGTCCCCATGGTACATCTGCCGTTACGTGAGAGCGATAAAGTAAGTCATAGAAATCCGTGCGATAGACAAGGATGGTTACATTGAAGACGTTTCATAATCTGAATAGTTACTCAAACTTTTAACCCGAAACGGGTGGTGATTATTCAGATTATTAAACGTCTTCACTATAGCCATCCTTGTCTATCGTACGGATTTCTTTACTTTGTCGCTCTCATGTAAAGGCAGATGGACCATGTGGATTTTCCAACCCTGTATACATGTAAGATGTAACAGTGTATTTTGAATACCCTTTAAATGATTTTTACATGCAACAGGTATGTTATACTTTCATCTTTCATTTGTTCATAAAACAAGAATGTCAAGAACTCAGGTGATTTTTTTTCTTTTATTTATGAGCAAAGTTAAAACATATATTGTTTGGATAAAGACTTATTTTTAGTTTAACCTATTTATTTTAATTTTCTGTGATAGTCCGAAAAATATATCCAGAAAGTTTATTTTAACGACATTTTAATATTAATTACAAGAAATAATGTTTGCAATTATCTAATTATTTATCGAAATTTCCCTAACGATGAAGCAACTGAAAACACGGCGGAGTGATTCTCTACCAAAACGTGAGAAGGTCCCATTGGACTTAGCATCTGTATTAAGGGTTGCCTAATTTACAGGCTAAAGCATAATTATTGCATATCATATGTTATATGACATACAACATAACATACATACACTTTTCAATTTCTACTGGAAAATATGTTATAAAATGAGTTTTTATATACAGTTCGATCTTGACTTTCAAGCTTTAGTACTAACCCTAGCGTAGATGCATGCAGATAACATTAATTTTTTACCCTTGAGGAATTGTTAAATGTCAAAGTATCTCCGTGTTCATAATATAGGTAGTATCACTAATAAGAAAAATGTATCCATGTGGTTAACGTCATTATTTTTTACGTACATATATGCAGACCAATGTCCATGATAACATTTTCATTGTTAGTAATGAGTTTTCTGAAGGAGTACGTTTTTGAGATATTATTGATGATTCAGCTGAATGTAGCAAAGCCTGAAGGTAAAATTTTTTAAGTAATAAATTATTGCAACCTATTTATTTTCAAGGAATTTGACATCAAAAACTTTTTAGAAAATTTTTTACAATTTGAGTAACAAAGTAAAAGTAACGCTTATACATTTGCTAAATCAAATGAAACATATTTTAGTGCCTAGACACAAGCATAGGCATTTTTTAGATCAGATTTAATTGAAGGAACCGTGCCAAATTATAAAAAAGATCTAATCAGCAGTGACATTTTATTAATAGTGATCAGTATAATGCCAAGTAAGGCCTCCGAAGTTTGTGTCCCCGTACAAAAAGTGTAATTTGAGATAACAGCCTTATTTTGACATGTTCATAGCCTATGTGGTGAGTAAAAGGAAAATAATAAACACTGTGATACTGGTTATTTAGATAGAGTAAATTAAAATTAAGTGTTGAAATTTCTCTAACTATATTCAGTATAAAACAAGAAAATTAGGTAGTTATCTTTATAAATTCCGAATTTAGACAAACACATTTGTTAGTACAAACATAAACACATACGCGTTTTATTTAAAACAGGCGTCAATTCGTGCAGCTCGTATGACAAAATAAAGACGTATTTTATGTAAACACGAGACTGAAAACACTTTTAAGTGCATTTATGTTGACAGGACAATTTTTCCTTTCCTTCCATTAAAATGATCATTATCTTAAAATAGACTTGTGCAGCCATTGTTGTATAAGTAGAAATTTCCTTCTTGATTTAAGTTTTAATTAAATCATCTTCCAATTAACTGTAACATAGATATTTTTAGCATTGTTTCATTTATGTATTTACTGTATAGGTATGTATCTATGACTGTGTTGGCAAGAACTTACCAGCTGCTGAATCCAAATTTGGTGATAAAAATCTTTATTTAAAAATATACCTACCGACTGTATGACAATAACTTTTAGTTAATAGCAGCTAGATCTTATAAACAGATAAAAATAAAATACTTAACGCAACTTTTGAAAAGATATACAGAAGTAGAGAAGAAGTAACAAGAGCAACAGTGTCAAGTATCAGAAAACATGGTAATGAAATAGATTGAAAGATTATTTTGTCTAAAATTCGATTATGTTTTATTCATTCGTCTAGCCTCTCTGATCAGCTATCTTACTACTTCATAACTTTAAAGATTTTACACATTTGAGAAATCTAAATACGTATGAACATATTACATTATTCTTTCAATAATTTTGTCAAAAATTAACTAATTATAATGCATTTATTTCAGTACGACTTAACATTTGGAAGAAATCGAACTGATGTTAGCAAAAAGGCAGATGATGATAAAGGCACATCCAGAATTGCTACAAGATATGGCAGCTCCTATAGTGCGGGCTACCAACGTGACAGTAGTGTACCAGGTAAGGTATAACGCTACTCAATTGATGACTTTTTGTTTGTCTTAAAAACATATAAAGTTAACACAAACATTATCCGAATAAAAACTTATAGTTTAATCTATTTAAAGTTATAAAAATGTTCTTCTGTATTAAACAGAAGAGATATGAATTACGGGTTGCCTACGTTGTTAATTTAATGTTAGAATACTTTCATTTGGATCTCTTAATTTATGCATTAATTGTTCCGTTTTTCAATTTACACAATGTGCGATTTCATTTTCAGGATATTCTGGAAGAATCGAATCCTCCAGGATAAAACCAGTTCTGGACAAAAAAGATACGAGTCATCCCCCTGTAACTTATAGACCCATTGGTCGCACCGGATCAAGATCTAGAGACCCTAGCCCAGTAGATAAATCGGAAAAAAGTTCCTCTTCTTCTTCCAGTTATAGTTATAATAGATTGTATCCAAGACCATACCAAGGTTCAGCCAGCCGCGAAAAATCAGATTCCAGTCCGGCTACTACCATACCTAAATACACCGGTAGAACCTCTATTGGGAGAGATGAAATTCCAAGGTATACTGGTAGGTCCTCAACTTCCAAAGATGATTCTTTATCTGCGAGGTATGGTAGGAATTCATCTAGAGAAGATCTTTCGTCAGGATCACAGAAATATATCAACAGTAGGTTTTTACCTAAAAATGCCGTTGAGAAAAGCTATACCGCTCACACAAGACCTTCAAATATAAGAACAAATGAAACAAGTAGAAAAAATAGGGAACTTTTAAGTGTTCTACATGCTCAACAAGAACAAGAGAGACTGAGTAGATCTTCTAGTAGATGTTCATCTGTAACTCCAGACGAAACAGTTTCCTCTTTGCATACTGAGAGTAAGTCACAATCACCTCCAAAACAAGTAGAGATGGAAACTATAACAGTTATAACAAGAGCAACGTCTCCATCACCTGTAACGACACAAAACAACAGTTATCTGCGAAGTAGGAGAATTGAAATAGCAAAGTACGTAGAGAAACAAATTACAAGACCAAAGACCAGAACCCACACTATGGTAGACAAGGAAATGCAGTCAGACAGATTGGATGATACCACAAGAACATCTAGGTTTGCTGGAGCTTCAAGGATATCAACTTCGCCTTGGTCATCGATTTTAGATATGAAATTTTCTAGTCCAAATAGTAAACAAAAGACTTTAAATAAATCGGAAAATTCCGGTCAGGAAGAAGAGAAACAAAAGGAAATTTGTGATAGTCCAAAAAATGTATCCAGAAACAATTCGTCAAAAAGCTTAAGCCCGTCCTCCACTAAATCAGAAAAGAAGGATATAAAAAAATCGTCACCGTCTCCTCCTAAATCAAAAATTGTTCCCCCAAAACAAATACCCAATGATAAAAAACAACTTCCTCCGCAAATTCCGAAATGTGAGAATACAAATAAATCAAATTCGTTACATTCCTTACAAACTACTAACAAAGACTTTCGTAAATCGGTACTAAATATGAATCCAGACGGAAAATCAAAAAAGAAATTAGGCAGGCGCAGTAACTCAGCGAGTTCCGCCGAATCCGATGCGGCAGATCCTGATGCGACGGATGTATCGGAAAATCTAACTAGTTGTAAATCATATCACACTTCGTCTTCTAAACTACCTCAAAAGGTTTCTTCTGATAAATCACTTCAAAGGAATAGTAGATCTCCCAGTTCCGACGCCAGTACCTCATGCCATACAAGTAGCAGTGACGATGATTTAAAAACTAAACATGAGAAAATTAAAAGAAAAAGTGCTGCTTCATCAAGAACTTCGATAGTAGTATCTTCCGCTGACGAATTCTCTTCAGATAAATCTCCCAAACCTCCACAAAGTCCAAGACCGAAAATAGACGGCATGAAATCCGAAGCTGAAGCAAAATCATTTTTAATGAGAGCTTTGGCACCAGTAACAAATCTATTTAAAGTCAAACATCACGGATCAGAGGAAAAGGTGAACTGGATGGATCCTAACTCTGAAAGTAACAATGAAGTAAGTAAAAATTCTCTGTCTGATGATGTTCAAAATTTACACTCGTTTGGGACTCAGAATACACAATCTGTTGGACTAAAACCTACCGGAACTGGATTAATACCAGCCAAGATAATTATACATCGAGTTGAATCTACCGAGAAACCTTGGTGGTTAGATGAAAAATCTGGAAATTCGGAGCAGTCGTCACTGCAGGATGATAATCCAAACAAGCCTTCCTTAAAACATGTTGATTCTGGGGAAGTTTGTTGGTGGAATCAAGAATTAGACGATAAATCTGAAATTTCGCGACAAGATCAGAGCAGTTCCCCGAAACAGACCTCAAAGCAAGAAAACAGCACAATTAAACCTCTCTTACGGCGTGTTGAATCTGGAGAAATTGCTTGGTGGAATCAAATGTCAGATGAGAAATCTTCAGGACAAGACCTTTCTAGGTCTCCCAAGCAAATGTCGCATCAAGAAAATCTAAAGAAGCCTTTAATCAAACATGTCGAATCTGGTGAAATACCTTGGTGGTTGGACGAGAATGCTGAAATTCCAGAAGGAGTTCAGACATATCCTAACTGGGTTAGAGAGGATGGCACAACTGAAGACGGAAGGATAATTTACAAAATAAGAAAGAATGATTCGGGAGATACATCATGGTGGCTTAGTAACAGCGATAAGACAGACTCAAACCAAACTAAGCCGTCGAATATAATGGATTCCGAATATTTGGACAAACACAAAATAAGGCACATAGATTCAGGAGAAAGGTCGTGGTGGCTAAACAGTTCCGAGAATATATCCGAAATGGTTCAAGCTACAGAAGGATCTAACCAAAATCAGGCCAAATACGCAATACGCCATCAAGACTCTAATGAAAAGGCTTGGTGGTTGCAACAGAACACCTCAGAGCAAAACAGGGATTCCGAATATGAATTTGACCAGGAACAAGTGCCTCTTGGCGACAGAGCTAGCCCAGAAGGTTTGGAAATGCCCAAGGAGGATGAACACCGTCTGAGTCCTTATGATAACGTACGGACTAATCAGAGAGCCAAGAGACCTTCGCAGTTATCGTTTTTTATTTCAAAGCATACTAATATAGATGATATTCTTGGGGGTTCCACGCAAATATGGAGTCCGCTGATGGATAGGCTATATGGATATGAGGGTGGTCGAAACGAAGAATGCACAGAAATTGACGCGGCGCAGGTGATCATACACGAGGGCACACCACAACGGACAGTCAACCAGGCCAACATACTGTAAGTTTATATATTTATCTCTGTATTACTTACATCTAATAGTAGGTCAATTAAAAATATCTCCTGAAAGTTATATTTAACTAGTATGATACAGGAGAAAGGGACAAATAAAACATATACTTGTGAGCACAGTAATGTTTACGTCAGGTACTGGGAATGAGGAAATAAGTTATAAAATAAATGACAATTTTTCCCTGCTATATACTTTACTAACTTATTGTGTTATTATTATTTAATTATTTTTCTGCGACAGGGTAGACAGCGGATTAGTGGTGACAGTTTAATTAATAAACAAAATCAAAATTATGTTGTGAAATTCTCTAGAAAATAATAATATAGCTAAATATTTTACGCTGATTTTTAATAGGTGACGTAGTTGAGAATGCACAACTTATCGCAGGACGATACTGTCTATTATAAAACTTATACATTATACCATTAAGTTAGGCGAGCTATAAAATTAGGGATAATATAGCGGATTCATTGAGCATAAATTTTGTTATTAGCATCTTGTTTTATCTTTTGACAGAAAGGGTGGGTAAGCCACTAATGCCTGATAAGAAAAATGCATTTTTTTAAAGATTGGCTCATCAAAAGCCCATAGTGTTATACCTCGTTGGAAAGATCTTTTCATGCTTTATCTCGTTGTGAATGCGTCATTTACCTCAATATGGAAGCACAAAAAATTGATGAATATAGTATAAGTTTGAAATTTATAACGAAAGTGTTGTTTATTTAATGGCGCTATTTACCCAAGTTTAGGTTGTTTCACGTTTTCTTAAAAAAGTGAAATTGCAGGATAAAACTTTTTATAGGTTAGTTTGAAGAGCATAAAAATAGCTACATTTTTCCATCAAAAAGGGTTCGGTATCTTTAGTTAGTTATTCGCAAATTAGTGAGAAAAAAATAAATATGTAATAAAAAATTTAACTGTGTTCATGTAGCGGCCGAACTTGAAAACTATTTCCAGCGATTTCTCTTTGTCGATTTATAAATAAAAAAAATCGCGAAGCTCTAGGGCCTATAATTTCTTTAATATCGTACCTCGCCGACTTTAGTGGGACACCCTGTATAGAAATTTTTTAAATGTTTATTAGATACTTTTATTGAGCCTAGAATAAGTGCTAGGAATTTACTGCTAAGAAAAGTTTCACACACAGTTTTACTCATATTTTAGTAGAATTTACAAATTAATTCATGAAGCGAACAAATTTCAACAAACAAAAAAATTTGCCTGCTATTTATTATCTAATAGTAATTAATTCTTTGTTTAACATTTATTGATATACGAAAATCGTAATCCTTCATTTGATGTATTAAAATAACTGTGTATCATTATTAAAATTTATATTCATATTGTCTACAGTATGCTAACATTACTTTGCCATTAATTGCTGAAATATTTGGTTTACAGGAACAAGGCAGGTTTTCCAAAACCATCTGCTCATACAAAGGTGAGTAATGTGTGGTTTTTCTATGTTTGTATGGCAAATATTCTTGTGTCCCAAAACCGGAATTTTAATAAATATTTACAACGGGGAAATACCAAAAAAATTTTTTATTAGGAAAATATCATTCTAGTTTTAATTTACTTAGAGAGTACAAAAAAATACTTAAGCATTAATATAAAAAATAGGAAAGATAGTGAGATAAATAAATATTTATTCCTAGTAGATTCTCAGACTACAGTAGGTATATTTATGTTATTCTTATTCTTATCATTCTTACAAGAGTCACCTTATTACATAAGTACTACTATAGACATTACGCTTATGCTTACTAGGCAAAGCAGGGTAGCAGGATTGTGACTGATGTATAAAATATTATTTTTATTTCTTCTGAAAAAAATACCGGAGTATTCAAAGAACTGATAATATATATCTGAGAGATTTCGCTGAGTTTATTCTGTGAAAAAACTAATTCATAAAAATACAAAACAAGCTGAATCTTTTTGTTATCTAACAATCTGAATAAGAGTAATAACTACTTGCTTTACATGTAGGTAATAACTTTAGATGGTGCTGACGTTAACGTCAAATATTTCTTTGTGGTGAACTACCTATTTATATACGTTGCACAAACAAATGTTGATGGACCTCATCAACTTTCAGACGTGAAGGTAATAAAGAACAGGCTTAAAGAGAATTACACGAAAAACAGTAAACCCAAATTTCACAGATGCTCTGAAGATCCGGCTTCATTAAGAAGTAGTGGGTTGTGGCAAGTTCTTAATTCCTGGTTGGTGGATGTATATTAACGATAAAGGGCACAAATGTTTTTGTCTATGCGTTTATTTATTCCAATAAAGACGAATATAAGGTGTGTAAAAATAAAATCGAAATTAAAATAAGTCCAATAGTTCCTCTGAGAATGAAATTACAAGGTTCGTTCGTTGCCAAAATACAAATTTTGTCCTGCTTTATTCTTCAGATTACTTTAAATCAAAGTAGCATACTTTTACAATAATAAAGTCGTTTACGTAAGTGAAGTAAGTATATGCAAGTTTTAACTTTGATTTTTACTATTAAAAACAATAAACAGAATAATTATTACCTCATTGTTTATCATATGTCGGTAAAATACTTCTAAATAATATTAAATTTTGATAACGCGGCGTATTGAAATATGTAAAATCAGAGATTTTCTGCGACTTAGATGGCACTACCAACAACGGCCAACAATAGCGGCTAGTTATTCACGTGCAAATCTAAAACACCGACGTTTTTGTCTAATGGAATCATAGACTGATTAAACTCAGATTATTTGGAATCCTAGAAATTCTGTTTTGATACTTGCTTGAGAAATAGTTTATATTTTGTGCATAAACTTTAGGCGGACATTCCTCATGTGAAAATAAGTAAAAAAGTTTATACAAATGTACCGGTTTTGAGACATATGTTTTTTTTCGAGAAATATATATTTTTTAAATATTTCAAGAATGTGTAATGATAGCTTCACATAATTTTACAGTGTAATAACTATGTTTAATCATACCATGCTGGTAATTCTGTTATGGACTTGCTCCTTTCGTGATGTGTAATTTTCTACAACTACTTTTTTAAAAATGTGTGTGCATATTGGTTAAAATGGGGCATTTTTGAAGAAATTTAAATATGTTATTAGATTTTTAAGGAAATTACATAGTAATGAATAATATTATTTTGCAACAACTACAAACTTTCAGAAGACTTAAAATAATACATTAAAACATTAAAAAAAAAAAACAAATCTGAAAGTTGTGGATATACAAAAAATAATAACAAATAATAAAAGTAAACTAAAAATAATTACAAACGCATATTTAGGTACCACCATTACTTCGTTCGACATGTTTTTCCAGTAATAACAATTCGATGTGTGAATCATTGACTATATTGTCGCTGATTTGGTGTCTCGAGAGAATCCATTTGTGACGAAAAAGACACAAGAGAAGAGACAACCGTTGTATCTCTTCCTGCTTCAAAACCGATTTTTGATCAGAAATGCACGAGGCGAAATGAAATCGAAACGTCCATATTTGTACATTCATACATTCACGTCTTGCCTCGTACCTCTTCTTCCTCAAATGTGAGCATGGTTTACCTAACAAATCTACAAAAGCTGCGTTCGTTCTGCCTCCTCTTGCCTCTGTATGTATGTGTACCCGACTTAACACTTTAAAGTGAAGCAGAAATTGCGTTCCAAGGATCTTGGTCCTGACCCTCAGAAGTTTGCCGTATTTCGAGTAGCGTCTGCACTTAGTGCTGGACCACATTGTGCGTTTTGAGGGGAGCGATGAAACTGGGTCGGTAGCGCATAGTCTGAACGCTGTCATTTAACACTGCACATGTTTACCACAGCATATGCAAACCAGCAATTTCACTCCGTTGTCGACACTGTGATCTCATTCAGCCATTTTCGGTATCCTTACATGGAGAAGCGCCGATCAGAACTGTAATAAAAATGTTTTTCTTGTGCAGGAGAGAGTATTAAAACAGATATAATCGTCATAATAATAAAAACATTAAAATTATTAATTTGAAGAATTATTTATAGTTTTATTACTATCTTGCAATATTTTTTTAATCACCTTAGCTGATTTGCAACCACTCTAATTGATATACTTAACATATTGAGGGTTGCTTTCGTTGTACAGCAAGAATAAAACGCTCTCTCAACGGTAATGATAAAGTATTTTATTGAAAACTAAGTTGTATAGAAAAAGACGTGTTGACAGGGTGAGTGTTCGTTGGAGAGTTCCTGTGTGTGGAGTCGGTCGTAGGTATATGAGTACGCATCTGGTCGCCGGCGCCAGTCCGCCGAAGACCCTTCCTGGAACACGTCCGGCAGCGTCCTGCTGGCGCTCTTGACGTAATCCTCAAACATGGGTCACTTGCGGCATGTGTACCCACAACATTTTACATTAAAATATTAACGAGTAATATTGATAAAGTCCTGGAATATTATATTTGTATCATGCTCCTTAAAATTTCTTGACAAATGTTTGCAATTGTATTTTATATTTGTAATATACATAGAAGTTTTAATTTTTATATATTCTTTGCAGAGTAAAATGTAGAATCCTTAGAAAATATTTTATTTTTAAAATGCATTGCTCATATACGTTAAACACTTTTATTTTCATGTAACTGTACCCATATTTTTTAAATTTAATACTTACGTATTTATTTATGTTTTAGGAGAATTTATAGAAAATTAGATATATTTGTTCATGTATAGGCTGTACAGGGTGATTCACTATATTTTGACCTCCCCATTATTTGTTTTGTTTCTAGACTCATAAAAAAATGTGTAACCCATTTTAATTAAATAATAATACAAACAATAACAACGCTGTCATGACATTACCTGCTACTGTCACGGCCTACCATATAACATTGTCCATGGGTAATTAGGCCTCTCACGGCCTAATTACTGAGATTTATTTAAAATACTTATAAGCACGTATCTTGGACCATATCAAATGTCCGATATGTCAAAATATATCTGTAAATCCTTATTTAATTGGAAAAAAGGCAGAAATGTCTGAAGGAGGTCTAACAATTACAAAATATCTTATTTTCTTGATTAAAAAACCTTCTTTTCGTTTTTTAATAGTATCTCGTTTAATGTTAGACCCTTATATTATGACAGACAACGTTCTATTTAAATATGTAAAAATATACAGGAAGTTCCATTTAAATTATCAAAGTTAACATTCGCGGCCATTTTGTTTGGACTTCATCTGTTTTTCTACTGTCATCTTCATAAAAAATCAAAACACATAATTGGCGAAATGCGGAAGGTCTCTGCATACCGAAGAGGAAGATTTCCGCTCATCTGAATTTGTTGGTTCAATATGTGCTGTGGCGTTTATCATCCTGCGCTATCGGTCCTGCTCCATTAATACGCACAGTGCGGTACAGCACTTATATGTTCACACGGTTTTTGCCTTACGTGGAACACGTTCGTGCACAGGTGTGAAATCGTCTTTATGTCTATTTTTTTAATGTTGTCGCCTTCAGAAGTCTTAATTCAGTGCTGCTGTTTAATTTTGAAATTGGGACTATCATTGATGCACTTGTATGTTCATGTAGGTATTTAGAATAGAACAATATGGAAAAATATTACTCAAGTAATAATTACCAGTTATACGAGTACATATGTGCAGGTATTAATATTTATTTTATAATTGTTAGTGTTGAAGTCCACACTAGCCATTTGAATTTTTTAAACGGACACAGGCACACATCTCAATAATCTATTATTTAACATTTTTATACGCTTTATTACAAGGACGCATAGTTATATACCCATATTTCACAACTTGCTTTTAAGTAGCTACACCCATATATTGAATATTTACTCTAGCCACACACTGTTCACATGAAACAAAGTTATTTACTGTCGTACTAAAATAATAGTAACAATTATTAAAAGTCTAGTCAGCCATCTGTATCATCGTTTTATTATGATTGACACATTCTATGTAATACACTACGGAAACCAATTTCCTAAAGTTTAGAAAATTATTTCATGTGCTTCAAACGTAACTTGAACTAATTGTCTGTGTAAAAATTGGTTTCCAGTTAAATGAAAATTTTTAATTAACGTATATAGTATAATAAATATTTCAGTTAATATCAGTACCCACCTATATTTTTAATGTCGTGATACAAAACCTAAGACAATAAGGGTAAATTGTGAAATTATCTAATATACTGGCCCCAAATTTAGCCCCTATGGCAAAGACACTCAATTGTTGAGCCGACTGCTAATTGTATAAAATAACCGCAAATTGGATAGATCAGGACATAGTTATTTATTTGGTGGGCTTGGTAGTCGTTGTTGTGTCATTGTTATTGGCATGTAATTGTGTGTAGTTAAATGTGATTGCTGAAATATATAAAAAAATAGTTTTAAAATAAGGAAAATTTAGGGAACTTTATTATATATAACGGGCAACGACTAACGTTCAATTATTACAAAGGACAATTCA